TTTTTTTTTTTTGTAAGTCTTCTGCAGTCATTTCACATTCTGGAGAGAAAACACATGTATCACACATAGCCTGTGCAAGTGTTGTATGGTATAACTTGCTTAATTATTTAGCATTAACCTCCTAAGACCCGAACTCTTCCACAGCATGCGTTTTTAATTTCTCTTTGATATTTGGGCATATTGGGGCCTGATAAATGTAAAAACAAAGAATTACCAGATTTTTTTTTTTTTTACCTGATTTTTGTTTGTAAGAAAAATGAGAGCCACAAACAAGGATATTCTTTTAAATTTTTTATAGAACAGTAGCAGTATAATGTCCTCGTAAGTGGATTTTAGGCCCTTGTAGAGCAAAATTGAGTATTTTGGTCTAAATAACCCAAAATGTGATGTCCACAGATGTGGACGCCAGGTCCTAGGAGGTTAAAGCTTAATTAGAAGCAGAAATGTGAGAAAGAAAGGCCTGGTAAAAATAAATAAATAAATCAGCCTAATGTTAACTTTTCCTTCATACGAGCTGTTGTACCATTGCATATCAGTTCATACATTAACTTCATTTTTTTGTTCTTTATCCCCCTAAGACCAAAGCTCTTTTTTGGGATGCATTTTTAATTTCTCCAAGCTATTGGTGAACAGTATAAGATTTTTCTTTTTCTTTTTTGGCTGCTCCCTTTAAGGGATCATCTGCCTCTAATCCTATCCCTAGCATCGTCTTCAGTCACACCAACCCTCTGTGTGTCCTCCTTGACTACATCCATGAATCTTCTCTGTGGTCTTTCTCTTTTCCTGCTACCTGACAGCTCCATTTTCAACATCTTTTGTCCAGTATAGCCACCATCCCTCTTCTGCACATGTCCAAAGCATCTCAGCCTTACTTCTCTAACTTTGTCTTCAGTGGGACCTGATATAAACTAAGCCTCTTCTTTAAACGGAAAGTTGTTACTTTGTTACATAGTTATTACTTTCTGATTTTATTTCTGAAAAAAACAACAACAAAAGTATATCTTTATATAACGAAATGTGTTTATTTTAAACCATAACACTATACAAGAAACTGTGCTTAACAAAGTACAAAACACTGTTGAGCAAAACAAAGTATAAGGTTCTAAAGTCTCCTGTCACTGGCTGAAGTTTCTCCTTCCTGATAAAAGAAGCTAGTTTCAGGAGAACTGTTTTCAATATGTAATATACTGACATTCTGGTTCTATGTATATAGAAAATAATATCCATATTCTTTTTATGATTGAAGATATATTTTAGAAAATGTTATCACAGTTCCTTATGTCTTTGCTCTACCCACGTATGAGCAACAGACACCCCACTTTAGACAGTGAAATCTCTCGTCTTTAGTCTGATGTGTAACCACTCATGTCGTGGCATATTTTAAGCCAATGATAGTAAATAGAAGTAGTTGGTTATGGATTTGTTACAATGTAAAATGCATACTGTTTTTTATTTATTTGTATT